GATCCCCGGTTCGGGGCCCATCCCTGGGACTGTTGGCACTTTTGATACAAAAGTGCCACCCTTACGAGGATTTCGGGTTTTACCATTGGGGGGTGGGGGGGGATACGATGGGGGGGGGGGGGCCGGGGGGTGGGGGGGGGCGGTACCGACACGCGACACGAGACCATATATGAGGGGTTGGGCGGGCCAAAGGCCTGAGGGTCGTTACGCGACCGCTACAGAAAGAAAGCGAGAGAGAGAGAGAGAGAGAGAGAGAGAGAGAGGGGCACAGGGATTTCCCCCTTGTCCCTAGCCCTGACGAAAGAAAGAGGGGCACAGGCACTGGCGAAAGGGACAAGGCTGGGAGGCAAGCAAGTTAAACGGGTTCGGGACGGGGAACGGACTTCAGTGGGCGGCGGGGACCACATCTCGCCAGTGCAGTGGCGCAGCGCTCGCGCGCAGGAGGGTGGGGGCGCGTCTCCCCGTACCTCCAAACGCCCCGCAAGCAAGCAAGCAAGCAAGCAAGAGAGAGAGAGAGAGAGAGTACCCAAGGCCTCCGGGCCAGGGCTTCTTAGGAAGCCCATACCCCTAGCAAGCAAGCAAGCAAGCAAGCAAGCAAGAGTACCCAAGGAGTGCGGCTGCGGGGCACCCCCCCAAGTGTTCTGATTTGTTAACCCTTTCTTCCTGCTCAGCCTGCCCCCACGGTGGCACGCACTCCGACCAAGTTTTCATACCAGCTGACCTCGTACAGACACCCCAACCAACAACATGTTTGAGGGGGTAGCGCCTGGAGCGCGGGGTGTGGGGACTGCCCATGCCCCACCCCCAAAGCAAAGCAAAGTGGGGACCAGTCTTGAACCGTGTGCTAGGTCACGAGGCATGCCTAGTTCTGTTTGCAGTAGTGCGCGTGACATGCGGTCTTTCCGAACGAGCTGGGGCCTGCAAGTGCTGTCGACCGGCGACAAACTGCCAGAGCGATGCCAGATGAGGCCGGGGAATGTGGGTATCTAGTATCTAGGTAGTCTTCAGAGGGTTTGTCGGTTGTGAGCCGGTGGCCTCCATCTGACTGAGAAATCACCGAGACAAGGGCCTCCTTCGGCCGTGTGGAAGAAGAGGGTCAAGCAGTGCCAGAACTTACCATGTCCTTGTTTGCACTGATTGTTACAGGCTAGTTTCATAAACCTGGGGGTGATGCGACTGTGTATCTATGACTTCACTTTTTCGTGAAATCGCATCCTTCCGGGGGATGTATAACGGCAAAACCCGCCCATCAACGAGTGGGTGGGGCCGAGACCATGAACCGGTTGCGCGGGGGAGCTCACCACAGTGGGTTTCCCTTGAGACCTGCAGCATGCAAGCCAACAAGAGAGAGAGCGAGAGATAGGGGTATCTATTAGTGTATGTACTTCTTGTCAATACTTATGTTGAGGCCCACGGCAGATACTCGAAATGGTGTCCCAAAGAAACAGTGTGCTGGGCTAGACATATGGGGAACGTTCAGACAAACTCCCCATTTACTAGCCGCCTTTTCACATCCTCCCGAAAGCCCCAAAAAATGTGGGGGGCCAATTGGCCGGGGGGTTCAACAGACCCCTCATGATAAGGGTGTTTGTACGTGGAATCTTCCTGGGTACGTGTACGGTTCCCCCGAAAGCCCCATACACATGGGGGGGTCCTATGGCCGGGGGTCTTGACCTGCCCCTCGAACCCGAAGGAAGAAGAAGGAAGAATAGGGGTGTCTTTGGGGGAAGGGGTTCACAAGCTTCAATCGGGGGAACAGAAGTTCCCTCATCTCCCAAAGGGGCAACGAAGACCGCTGGATTGCGAGCCGTTGTGGGATAGGCCCTCGGGCCAGGGGAGCCCAGACCCCTAGCAAGCTAGCAAGCAAGCAAGAAAGAAAAAAAGGGGGTCTACCCCTACAACATAGAACTGGCGAAAGAAAGAAAGAAAGAAAAGAAGCAAAAAAATAAATAAATGGCGGGCGCCTGTAGCGCGGGAGTGGAGGTCGCTCCTCCGTCCTTAACCCTTGGGAAAGAAACGGCGAAACAGGACAGAGAGAGATTCTTTCCACTCCAAAACGGGGTAGCGCAGAGGGGGTGCGGGGAGCCCCTCCTCTTGGCCTTTGGAAGGACAAGCGCCGAGGGAGACAGCAGGGGGTTCACCACGGTGCACCGGCAGTTGCTCATCTCAGCACGTGATCTCACCCCAAGCGGAAGCAGTGCTCACATGCCGCTTTTTAGCTGCGTGGAAGAGAAGACGCACGCACGCGCGCGCACACACACACACACACACACGCGCGCACACAGAAACCATCATCATCAATGTGACAGGCATCACGCCTGCTTCTAGACATGGCAACATGAAGTGCAATTTGTTCTCCTGCGTTACGAGCACAAACTCATGGGAGATGAACATGCCCAATATACCTCCGGACCTACAAGACCGTTCTGTCTTAGGTTGAATCAAGCAACCTTGCCTGTAGAACAATACATGGAGACGCCCACACTCGCCCGCAGGGTTCGCACCCAAGCAATGACACAGAAATGCAGCGTCGGTGCACTGTGCGAAACCCAAGCATATCCCGACAAAAAGGATGTAAGCACACCGGCATGTACTGATAACTGTGTAGCTACTGTTTGCCTGCCTGTGTGCATTGGATTCGGGCTTGCATCTAATTATGCGCATGGTGCGACGACCGCGGTCCCCACTTAAGACAAGTCCGCGGTTCTGACAAAGCTGGCTCCGCCTGACCACTGGGCCTTGACGGAGCGGGGTGGCAACATGCAAACATATGTATGCATACCTACATTACATATATAGATGTTAAAGCATACATTGATTCACATTCACATATGGTCAGACGCTTCTTGTGCCCCTGTACCTGAACAGTAGTTGCGGCAAGAATGTCAGACCTTCAACATAGGCACCACACTCTGGAGCAGAATCGCAAATGTAGAAGTTCCAAACTTGCATGTCCTGCAAATGCATGTCCACATGCAGCGTGTAGCCGTAGGGTCCAGCTACTGAGGTGGTGGTGGTGGTCTCGGCATCCATCGGAGTGGCAGCCGAGCCAGATCTATCATTGCTCGCAGTGTGACCTTGACCGTTCAATCCGTATTTTGTTGAATCCTGACCCTATGAACCGGGAGAACCATTAGAATGCAGCGTCTGGCGTCCGATCAGCCACAGCAGGTTCTTGGTGGGAAGCTCAGTCGCAGCAGCTCTATGGCCAGCGACCTCCCTGTGCCTTGGATCATCTTCGCTGCGATCACAGCCTTTCAAGTCTGTGCGTGAGAGATTTACAGGAGTTTCGGATGTGAGAGTTTGGGCCTAGTCATGTCGATAGGAGTCATGTCGGTAGGGTTACGGCCGTTGATGGAAGAAGGAAGGAAATCGGCTTTGGCAGGTCAGGAAAACTGCACTATGGCACATAGCGCAGTGAAGAAACAACAAGGAACTGTTGCCGGACATCATCACGGGTCTTTGGATTGGAGTTCGGGTGAGTGCCGATGTTGGGTTTTCCTACCGGCTGCAGACGCAGAGTGTGTCACTCCAGCAGGTCACAAACAGCACGAGCTGGAAGCAGATGTCCACGGCGGCACCTATCTCCGCTGAGGGCAGCACTGTGAAGTTCTCCGAAGAGGACAGCAAGGACCTGGGACAAGAAATCCTTACACGAGTGTTTCTAGTGATTCTACAGTATAGTACGAAGGACCAGGCCCTGAGCCCTAAAAACCTGAAAAGACAATGTTGCTTTTGCACTTGGGCGGGGGACCGCCAAGGATGACGACGCCCAGGACTCCACGCTGAAGATATCCATTCCGAAGGTTCCATTTGCAGCCTTTAGGCTGGCAGTTATTTCTTCGGAACCCCTCTTTCATCCCGGTGTCAAGACGGCGTTGCTTCTGGTGCTCGGAGGAAGCACGAGGCAAGGCAGTTGTGATTGAGGCTGTCATACAATCTGTGGTCAGAATGATTCGCCTGTATCAGTAGGGACCACAGAGACTAGCCCACCTTCAGATTGCGATTGTTGGGCCGTTCACTCTTCGAGTTTGCAGTCCCTCATGCGACCAGAATTATGAAGCCCGGTGCACTCAATCTTAGGAGCGCATCGACGAAGAGTCTTCGCCTCGCGATGTGGTCAGCCTTGCAGCAGGACTGCCGGAGTAAGCTCTCCATGCAAGTGTGTCGGCACATGCCATGCAAGATGACTTGCAATCGGCTGCGACCTTGTTAGTTGGGATGTGTGCACCTCCTGTTCCTGGTTGTGAGTGCCTGCGAACACAGGCAAAGCTTCACGGCCGTCCGCGCTTTTAGAAGATGCCTTGAACATGATGCCGCTGTTTTCGTCAGGGTTACCGAATTCGTTTCGATGGACTTGTGACCTAAGCAACGCACTTTGCTGGCTCAGCTCCATTGCTCTTCATGACTTATGTTTCTCAACAAGGCTGATAGGAAGTTTGTTTTAATGTTCTATGGGCAGAGGCAATCGCATTCTAGTTTAAGGCTGTCGGTTACTAGAAGACGTTCGACTCTGTAGATACAGCCTTGTCCGAAGTAAATGCGGGGGGGGGCAAAAGAATTCTTCAGCGACAGGTTCTGAGCCTGGAGACGAGGACGCCGCCGACGCCGACGACATCCGCAACGATCCAATGCGCGACCTTTTAGGCTTAAACGCCGGGATAGATGCCATGGGGCTGGAGGAGCACCTCGTGGATCAGGAGCAGCAGCTTCAAAACCTGCAGGAACAGCTGGCAGACCTGATGCAGGGCTCTGCCCTTGGGGCCTCTACACTGACGGAGCTCCTGCAGCAGCAGCTAGAGTGCCTGGCACAAGGTGTTTTTTGCTTAGGCAAGATCTGTCTGAGACCCCATAGGGGGGGCCCTGCCACAAGCACTGTCTTGCGGCAAGACAACACGGGGGAAGTGCTTGGTCATTTACGTTCAGTCATGCATTGGATCACGCACCGGCAGCGGCCATCCGAGTGGGAGCCCACAGCCCTCGCGACCATTGCGCTACAGTCTACTCGTATCCCGGACCACGATGTCACCTACAGCCCTCCACGCCCCACGAGGGTGAAGGAAAGCCAGCCAATGCCTTCGTTGCGACGTGGCAAAGCGACCCCGCGGGAGGTGAGCCCAGGTGAGCGCCGGCCGTTCGCATCGGGTGGCCCCGGTTGGCGACAGCGTGGCCTACCTGCCAACTGCAGCTATGACGATGTGAAAAGGCCAAGCACCACCGGAGCCATCATGGTTGCTTCGAAACCAATGGATGGTCGGCCCCTGGTAGTTACACCTGGTGTATGCGTGACAAGCAACGGCGCCGCACATACTTCAGAAGCTGCAGAAGCTTACGAAAGACCATCACGGGACCACTCTGTCGACGACGTTGTATCACTGCCTCCTCTTCCGGAGTCCAACCACTCCAACGATTCGGCCGTCTCGGCCAAGTCTCGTGAAAGCCGGCGTCGTCCTGGCATGTAGTGAAATAGCCGCCACGGCCCAGGGCTGGAAGCCTCCATTGGCCGTGTTCTGTAATGAATGCCGGGTGAGGCTCCATGAAGCATAATTTTTCGTGCCAGCTCGCATACCGCGTGAAGCAAGCAGATTTCGAACAGCATCCCTGGAATGGCATGTAATGGCATATTTTGCAGGCTAGCATACCAATTCGCAGCATCGCTGTTAGCCTTGGAGCCACAAAAGTTGTTGCGCAAAAGCCGCGCGAAGCCTTTCCTGCAAAGCAGGCCTTGGCCTCAGTCGGACAGGTCTCACAAACCCCAGGTATCAAAAACGGTGCATCCGATGCGGTGTTGCTATGAGCCCGTACTTGGCGAATTCAGTTGCACATGGCCATTCAAGCTAATCGCAGGAATGCAAGCAACCTTGCATTCTGTGCTAATCGGGCGCAATTTGCTCGATATCCTTGAGGTGCTTTAAACTGGAATGACCATCCCCCATCAATCTAGTCTGGTCCAGGCTTTAGTGCAAGATCCGCATGCCTGAGCCACATCTCGGCAGTTCCTCCCAGCTGATGGACCTATCCAGTTCCTGCTGGGGTCGTAAAACAACCCTAAACCCTAAACCATCCTAAACCCTAAACCCTACTGAACCCGGTACGGGCCCAATCAGACCCCCCTGCGGTCTGAGAAGCCTCCCGCCTCGACCGGCCGAGGTTGAAGGCGGGCTCTGCTCGCAGATGCCTCAGTCACACCAGAACTTTCTTTAAATACTTACGTATATATAGACACAGAGAGATGTATGTGTATATAATATATATATATACACTGCAGAAAGAAAGCTCATATATATATATGTGTGTGTGTGTATGTATATATATATATATGTATATATATATAAGATGTATACTTATACTTGATCCCCATTTATTATTGTGTATGCTCGGCCATGCGATCTGTGAGGCTCTGGTGCTTTGGGCGATTTGGCGGAAAGGACATGGATCATTTGCAGCCCGAGACGGTTTAACACAATCCGACCCCATGTATCAGTCTGAGCAGTGCTCGTTCCGATGCACAGGTCAGGACGTTAACAACAATCACGCACCCACGATGTTTATTTCGCATCCTGATCGGGCGAGCAGGGCCCACAAGACGAGTTCCTGTGCAAAGCATTGGCAAAAAAAGCAGAAAGACAAACTGCAAAGACGACAGACGTCGTAAAACCAACATCATAAGATACCTATTGAGATCAACAGCACACCCACAACCCTAGCACTGGCCAAGGTTTTTGTGAGCATGAAAGTGGAAGGGTCCCGGTTGCTTTTTTCCTATGCTGGCTGTGGTTTGGGGTCCTTGGTAGGCTTGGCGCAGGCCCCCCGGTCCCCTGGTCCTCTGGCCTGGTCTCTGGTTTTGTGATCCTGTGGGTCCTCAAACCGCCTCAGGTCTCGTTCTGGCCCTGCCACAGGTCGCCGGGGTCGCGGGCCACAGGCTGCGGCACGTGAAAAGCTGGGGGCGGGTTTAGCAAACGAGATATATTGTATGATGATGCGGAATCGCCAAATCAGGGGGCGTGTTTCTTAAATGATGGTCCTCAATCGCCCAGTAGGGGGAGTGGCGCGTGTAAGATAAACCTATGATGAACCGGAATCGCCAAACGACGGGCGTGTTCAAGATTCATGATGAACTGGAATCGACAAATGAGGGGGCCTGTTTAAGATATATGCTCAACAACAACCGCAGCAACAACAGCAACACCACACTCTATCTAGAGAGCCTGTGAAGTACACGTGTGTGTGAGTGCTCGGAATGCTAAATTTCCGCACAAGCCATGCTGTTTCACGCGTGAGATGACCTCCCCAGGTATGCATGAAGACACCATAGACAATGCTTCAGACAAAAGCTCCCTGTCTGTGTCTTGGTCAGCCCCCCCCACCAAACTTAAGCGGCGCAATTTTGTTTGAAAAATCACACCTTGCTAGCAAGAAAGCACGCATATGGACCTTCTCAGAAGCCCTGATACAGACATTGTGGTTGCACCATGTCGCAAATGGGGGAGGGCTGGCCCCCAACCCCCCTGCTCTCTTTTTTCGCCCTGCGTCCGTGAAAAGTTGGGGTCGGGTGTAGCAGTTTAGCAAAAGCGCAGAATCGGAATTGGCAAACGACCGGGAATGTTCAAGATATATGATGAGGGGGGCGTGTTCAAGACCTGGATCGCCAAATGAGGAGGCGTGTTGCTGAATTGATTATCCGGAGTCGCCCATTATAATCAAGGGGAGGGATGCGTGTTCAAGATATATGATGAACCGGAATCACCACATCAGGTGTGTGTTTAAGATATATAGATGAATCGGAATCGCCCAATCGGGGAGGGGGGCGTGTAAGATATAATTACACATGATGAACTGGCATGGCCCCGTGAGGGTACGGGTTTAAGATAAATTATGATGAACCGGAATCGCCAAAGGAGGGGGCCTGTCTAAGATGTATGATGAGATGGAGTCGAGAAATGGTTTCGCGTGTTCAAGAAATCTTATGAACCGGATCGTTTCGACAGGAGCATCGGAATTGCAATTCCCCAATAGCTTGACGCAAAGCAAGACCCTGCAAATTGGAATTCCCCGATAGCTTGATACAGGACTGGAAATCCCTCAACAGCTTGGGGCCTGGGGCAAAAACAGGAAGAGCTTGACGCGACGCAAAGTAAGACCCTGCAAATTGGATTCCTCGATAGCATGACACACAAGACAGGAGCTTTGAAATTGCAATCCTCCAATAGCTTGGGGCAAACAAAACTTGCAAAATTTGTGATTCGTCCATGCAACTTGGAATTCCCCAAAAGCTTGACACAAGACCGGAGCCTCGAGCTTATCCCCCGATAGTTTGGGGCGAAACAGGACCCTGCAAATTGGAATTCCAAACTAGTTTGATGCAAAGCAAGACTCCGCAAATTGGAATTCCTCGATAGCTTGACACAAGACAGGAGCCTCGAAGTTGCATCCCCCAATAGCCTGGGGCAAAACAGGACCTTGCAAATTGTAATTCCTCAATAGTTTGATGCAAACACGAGCAAACGCTGCAGTTTACAGTGTTTGCAACCACAAAGAGAGCCAACATTAGCAAAGGACACGGGGGACCGCCAGTGTTAGGAAAAAAACCTCCGCTGAAAGTGGAAGCAGGTTAGGAGTTTTATTACATCTCCCGAAACCACCGGCATTTGTGCAAAGCCAAGACACCGCCGTGCGTCTGTTTGATTCGTCATCGCGGGGAAATCGGCTCATTCAGCTTACTGCCTGCTAAACAACACGCAAAGACCAGCGCCGCTTTGCATCCGCGTAATTTCACGTGTCGGAGACGCCACTTCACTCAACTGTGCAACAATCTTCTCAGATCTGCAAAGCTATCACCAGGCAAGGCTTGAAGCAAGCAAAAGCAGACGCACACGCTGGGAGTGCTACCGCCGACCAAGTCCAGGACCCGTGCCTCATTGGCAGCACTCGCTTCAGAAGAGGTGCAGTGGAGTTTGAGGTTGCAGGAGTAGCAAGCAGCTGAATAGAATCGGACCTATGCAGCATGTGCAACCTCAGATTCCAGCTGCATCTGAAAAGCCGCCCCAACCTAAGCATAAGCCGGTGCCGTGCAGACCGAAGCTCGCCGGCAGCTGGAGATGCGTCCCTTCCACAGAATCAAGTGCCAGAAATGGTGCCAAGTCGCAGTAGGGGATGCTACATCGTGCAAGCTGTCAGAAGAATTCCTCCACATTCCTCCTCCAATTTTCAGGCCTGGAGCAAGTCGAGGCCATGACCAAGGCAGCTGGAGCTTGGCAGCGGCACTGTAAAGCGGGCTCTTGCATTACTGTACACTGCACTGCTTGAGCATTTAACCAAGACATGGCTAGCGCCGTTTTAGCTTCAACAACCACCCGGGACGAAGTTGTTCGTCAGGTGCTCGATGAGACGATCCATGCGGTGGATAGCTCATACTCCATCTCAACGACGGATGCCTTGGCGCAGCTGAATTCCAAGGTGGAGGCTCGCAATGACGTTGGCGAAATCGTGAGCAGGTTGTTTGTCCTACAAGGACCATGGCTATAGGATGTCAGGTTTGCGTGGTCTTATCGTCTTCTATGAATCTGCGCTGCGCATGAGACAAAGCAAAGCAGCAGAGCAGTGGCGAACTCGAGCCCGCAACTGCCGAAAGACACGTGGGGCAGATGTCAGCCCCAACGAACTTCCAAGCCGTACCAAAGGCTTGCACTAGCAAAGCATACCAAGCATCGGTGTGAGGTACTAGATGCCACCTTTCAGAAGATGGATGCATCCCTTCCTCGGGGTGGTGGACTCAAAGAGGAGGCAAAGGATCAGAATGGGTCTTTGTCACGACTAGCTGTGGAAGGTCAGCATGCACTTGTCGTCATATCGCAAGTCTTGCACATAACAGCCGTTTGCCTTACAGTGTGTCCTAGAGTGATTCTTTGTAGCTTGAAAGCCTGGTCCATCTGCGCCAGGCACTCGTGTCCTCCTTCCAGGCACAAGCGCAGATTGAACTCACGTGTAGTTGCTCAAAGACACACAATGCATCACATGACTCGGGCAGAGACACTGTAAAGCCACACAGGTCAGGACGGTGACTGCTATGGAAGTTGCACCGGGCTTCTGGTTTGGTCTCAAAAGCTTGCCGCAAAAGGGCTTGTGAGCATGAAGGGACAGACCGCTGTGCAGCAGGAGCTGACTGAGATGCAGAGCCGTGCGGCGCAGAAAGTCTCGTCCCTCGAGGACCGACTCCAAGATGCTCGTGACACGCATGGCAGCCGAGCCGTCCATGCAGATTTGATGACTCCTGCTCGAAACGCGATCCGGATTGCCAGGTAAGGGTGGAAGACCTGGCCATGAGACTGCAGGCTCACACGTGCGGTGCATTTCGAGCGCGGGCCGGGGGCGGAATGGGATGGGTCGGCAAGTCTCCTTCGGCTGATGCTTGACAGTCAATCTTAGGAAAACGAATTGCATCTAGCCTTCTAGAGCCTACAATTACTTCTTGTACTGCTTCTCATTGTCCGAAGGTCTTGGACGAGACCTTGCACAGCTCCCGGCAACTCTATGACGAGAACAACCATAAAATCGAGGCGAATGTGGGCACCGGTGACCGTTTGGTTTCAAGCTTGGTCGAGTGATGTCGTCCATGGCTCCTGATTCCTGATGTGGCCTCGAAGGCGGTACGAGTGATAAACGCAGAAAGGCTGTAGATTTTCGGAGAGATGAATGCAATATTGATGAAGCAATCAGAAGGCGAGATAGCGGGGGAAGCTTCATTTTCCAGAATGGTTGCATGCAAAGCCGGCACACACTTCGGCTTTCGACGATATGGCAGCCGCAGCGACTTCTGTCCAGTCCTTGTCTGCTGGTTGTGCTGACTGCTTTTCTCGCGCAGCTCACGCGGCTCGTTTTCCCGAGGTTGTAGTTTCGAAACGCTTTATTGCGGGTAGTTGTCGGCCTGGACACCATGCTTGGGCTCTTCACATCCCGCGCAACCAGCCTCTCCGCCGTCAGCAAGAGCATGGAGGAGTCGAAACAGCAACCGCCACCAACGCCACTTGGCGGAAAGGTCTCCGATGTAACTTGTGTGTCGAACGCGTCTAGCGGCTAACGGTTGAGATATCACAAAAAAACATTCGTTGTCACACAGCTTCTCCCGGTGCGGATTGATAGACAAGGAAGATCCAACACTAGCCGTCACTAGCCAAGCGCTCCAACTCCGTTATGGCCGGATCCAACTTGAGGCCGCTTGAAGAGAGTCAGCCACAGACCTCGTCCGAGATGCCCTCCTTGCCTCCTTCAGGAGCCTTTCACGGTGTAGGGAGTCTGGGACGTTTCGTGCTTTGGACTTCCAAGTTGCAGCTGATAGGGTTTGTGGGGCCGAAGACTAAGAGTTCGTCACAGGCAGACGAGGCTTAACTGTATCACAGGGTCCTAAGATTACGATGGAGAACACACATCACAGAGAGGGATTGCACAGTGCCCTCTTGCAGTGGTATGGGTTTGAACTCGTCATGACATGAACAGTGCTCGGCCCCTTCCCTATTCCTTCTGACGCTATATCAAGCATGCATGAGTGACACCGATCATGATCCTTTCCTTTTTTGACCTGAAGAGGCGTGCAAGGTGTCGGCACTACATGCCTCCACACCAGTCACGGTTTCATGCTCTCAGGACAGTACACATGCAGCAAGATCATGTGAACATCTACATTTACAGACGAACTGCCACAGACAGACACACACACACACACGTGCACGCACACGCAAACACGCACACGCACGCACGAGCACGCACGCGCGTGCACGCACGCGCACGCACGCGCACTCGCACTTGCGCACACGCGCGCACACACACACACACACATACCCACACCCACCCACACCCGCACACCCGCGCGCGCACACACACAGACACACACACGCACGCGCGCGTACGTGCAGGGAAGGGACACATAGATCGGTACTCGTACATATGTATAGGTTTATGCAGGCAAGCAGCCCATGCTACATTTTTGTTTGTTCGTGTGAAAATTGTGTATATGCAACACAAGTTCGTTCGTGCATGTAGAACATAGATCCCCAGCCATACGAGAGGGAGAAAATTCAACGATGAAACCATAGAGCTAGCGTTGTGCTCCCATTTCACAGGCACATCCTGGAACATGTTATGGTTGCAACATCGCGTTGCATAAAACGTTAAACTACTTGTGTTTGGTGGTGTTCTATGGTGCACCACAGTGCTGGGTTACCTTATGCACGGTGCAGTGAACAGAATGCTGGCACAGAGGAGTCAAAAGCTTGCAATGGCCGCAGTCGATTTGACTTTGTTCACTCTAGGGGAGCAAACCACAAGGGAATTCGGGAGTCACACCCTTACCAGACCTGTCGTGCAGCCTTGTGCGAGTGTGAGACGAAAAGGTCCAAAGACCCCCGCCTCGCTCCATCCACTGAGTCCAACTTTACAATTCAAGAATTCCCGGTCCTGTCTGCAGGAACGATTGCGCACCCACGTTTCGACCGAGAGCCTTCTTTCGGATCGACAAGGAGCCTTGGTGCCACCGGCCTCGACAGCTGCGTCACTGCAGCCTTTTGTAGAATAAGCCACACCGAGCCATAGCCTACACCGTTCCTGCTGCATTGCTCAATCCGACGCGGCCTGAAGAACCTCAAAAAGTCGCGTTGAAATTCAATTTGTAGGACCAGCACTGGCACCAACACGAGCTCTACAAGTGCAAGCACGGGGAGCGCCATTCCGGACACCGCGCGACACTGGGCTGAGACGGTCATTGACCTTTGTGAGGAATGAGGGGCCGGGCCCCTTCCGGGCCCCTTCGTAGCCGCACCAGCATGAAAAGCATTATAGAAGGTAAGCGTAGGCTCAACTTCGAGGGATCGGGCAAAAGTGCACCCACGGATCCTTGTGTGTACAGGTCGAGGTCAGTAGGAGCGGATGGGCAAAGCCGGTGATTCTGCCCCGAAGCGAGTATCTAGAGATGGTGATGACTTTGTTGCCGTTGATGCTGATGACGGTCTTGATGAAGTTGAAGATGACGATGATGATGGCGTTGGCGATGACGATGATGGTTATGATGATGGTGATGGTGATGGTGAGGAAGACGAGGAGGAGGAGGAGGCGGAGGCCGAGGGAGGACAAATTCGGAATGTTTGCTAAGTTTGCAAGGCGAGGAACTTCAAGGCTGGCCATTTCTGTCAACTCGCCGGTCCATGATGCCAATCACCCGTGTCGCGATGCAAAGATGTGCGGATCGCCATCCAATATGGATTTGGTACAGACTGTTGCAAGGTTCCGCTTAGAAACATGTCTGTGGACCTGAGGCAGCACCACGAGCTTGTTCACCAGCCGCACCACGAAGTCCATCCCGCGTGACCTTCAGAATCTCGGCAGAGTCGTTTCCAGAAAGATTCTGGGGCTCAGGGATGCTCAGGGGCCCGGAAGGTTTCTGGTGCTAGGCGGCTTCGGGTTTAGAGCATAGCATTGCTCTCTTGCCGTCCACCGTCCGTTGCTGCCTGGAAATACCGGCCCTGGGCTCTGGACCACCACATCTCCGTCTTTGCACAGATGGTCTAAGCCGGAAAGATTTCTCGATGCTCTTTGCAAGCGTGTTGTTCGTTGTTGTTAACGCACGCCGCTACAGCACCTCCTGAACTATTCATAGACCAACCAGCCCAAGACTGAATTCCAGGCGGAAGCTTCTTGCCAAAAGTTTCCTTGAAGTCAATGGGCGGCTGGGACGGCAGATTACAGCTTGCATTTGGGGTTGCCTTCTGGGCTTCTTGTCCTTATGAGCTCGCAAACGGGCTGCGGCTTGTGTGCGTGTGTGCACGTGTGTGTGTGTGTGTGTCTCTGTGCCTGTAGCGAGTCGGCACTGGTTGGTGTTTGAGGGCAGGGGAATGCTGGTGATGACTATTCAAGCTAATTGTGGTTTGTGAACGGGCTCACCATGTAGAGATGAGGCGCGCAGTAGGTGCGCCACTTAATCCGACACCAGAAGGTTAAGCTCCCACAGAACCCCAACCGGATGACATGTTGTGAAGCAGGTGTGAAACAGAAACAGGCTTGGGGCATTGAAGTTGCTACGCGCATCGAGCCCAGGTTGCCAAACCCCAAATATCCGCCTCCTAAAGTTTCCGATTGCAGTCAACATAGTTTAGGGATGCCAGCATCCAAGAGCAACCCCGTGCATGTCTGACAACAACCACGCATCACACCGATGATGAATCAGAGCTAGCATCAACAAGGATTGCAAAATAGAATCGAACTCGTGGACAGCCTAAGCCTTCCTCCTCCCTGCACACGACAGGTTCATGCATGTCAACGAGGCGAAGCACTCCTGGGGTCGCACTCGTTCCTTGGCAGCTCAGATCATGCGACAGCCTTGGAGACAAGCCCGTATTTATCCGTATGTCTCAGTTCGTTTCTCATCCGACAGCGCGGCGGGCCGTCGCAAGGCTATCCCCTGCATGTTGCCGTGCAGCAAAAGAAACCTGCAATTGTGAGGCGCGGGGCCGGGGCTTGGAGGGAATCTTATGGAATAGCCTCGTGCATCGACTGATGTCCAAAGGGAGAGGAACATCTCTGAGATCGGCGGTTGCCCTGATCGCAGGGCTCTCCTCCGCCTTGGCGCGCGGCCCACGTGCAAAACCAACCGGGGCCTGACGCCGCAGGCGGCCTCGGGATCCTTCGAGGAAGGGCGGCTGCTTAGGCGTAGGTCCGAGGCATGCTGCGCAAAACCCGCTTTCGGTTGGAGGCTCATGAAGTCTCAGGAAGAGCCCTAGCAACATCCAGCTACAGCCGCACCAGTGATGCCGGATCTGATGCGCTCAGCGGCTGATAATACTGCGCGACAGGATGCAAGATTATCTGCCACATCAGAGGCCAAAGGCAAAGCATGGCCCGTACCATGAACCACGCCTTAGTTTTTGAGGCACTGGCCATGCGGCTTCAAAGTCGCTGGGGCGGGTACCAGCACCTTGGCTGGCAAAGGTTGCTGACACCGGTCGGGCAAAGAGCAGGCCTTTGTACTTGCTGAGTTGCTAAGCTTTCATGCAGTCTGAGGGAGGTCTTGGACGTCTTCGAGGAACTCGGGGGCGATCACGAAATTCGTTTGCAACGCCGGGCGGTTACGACCAGCCAGCTCAGTGATGGCTCCATTGATCGAACCGCAGACCTTTTGACAACAGCTCAGGTCGCATGATTCCTCACACATGACTCAGCTCCGAGCAAGAGTCTCCCTAGCTGAGCATGCCATTTTTGACCGCTTTCGAGTGTTTACACAGAGGCCATCAGAGGCTTATAGGGTTTGCTGGGACCTGGGCACGCATATCGCTCGAAGGCGCCGACTAGTAGCCCCACGTGACGCTTCGGCCACATCTGGTCCTAATAGAAGGGCCGCTTTACGATTTAATAGTATGCCTCTCTTGCTGGTGGAGCATGGGAACCAATTTAATCTGGATAGACTCTAGTTTGTTGTGGGACGGATCCTGGGACAGTCGACTCCACACACACACACACACACACACGGGCTCCATATCTCATATCCAGAGTCTTTGGCTTTGGGAGCTAAGTCCCGGTGTCCATCCTGGTTGACTCAGCCCATACTAGAGGCTATCCAGACATGTGGGCATGTCTCAACAGTCGCCAAAGCATTCAAGTGCCAACAAAACTTGACACATACCCACCTCCGATGAAAGGGGCGAAGCCCAGGGAAATGCCCTGTGTGGTGGCAAAGAGGGGCTTTTTGCAGGTAGTTGGCAGTGATGCACGCTGTCATCTTGTTCCAACAAATGCAGCCAGGCCATAGACGAGACGCTGCGCTCTCTCGGCGTCCTCTCCAGAGGAGGACCTCTAGCATTGCGTCTCATTTCTGCGTACAAAAACCACGTTGGTGTTTTTCGGGGGGAGGGACTGGCGACACATGCAAACGTAACTATATAGCCTGTGAGTGTAGACTAGCAGTTGCTGCTTCAGGCTCTAAGTACGGAAGGATGAAACCATGCCTTGTAATCAAGGGAGACTCTCTGCCGGCATGCTACACTGCCGCACAGCGGTGGCTGCTCTGCAAGGAAAACTCAGTGTACACTTAGGGCAGGGACTGTTGTGAGACCACACCCTGGGGCATGCTTTATCGACTTTTCAGGAGACTTGGCAAGTTCAGACGACCCCTAGCAATCGCCGGTGTGGTGCCCCCTTATAATGTCGTGTGATTGCCGGCCGCTACGTCCTGACTCGAGGAGAGAGAGAGTGTGTGTGTGTGTGTGTGTGCGTGTGTGTGTGTGTGTGGGGTTGTTGTGTTCGTATTCTTGTACAGATTGCCGCAGCAACATAGTCACGCACCACATGCGAAAGAAGGTTTCGTCAATCTGCAATAAAAGCCGCAACGCCTATAACTTAATAACAGCAAGACATTCTATCTTTTGCTAGAGCACTTAAAAACCAACACGACCTTGGATTTTCGTAGCATGTGCCGACCAAGAATATGCGCAGATGCCAGGTTTTCGAATCATTCAGCTGCTGCCCTATCTACAGAACAAGCACAGGCACGCATGAAGACGACATTGACATGAAGGCACATTTCCGGAAAGAATCGACTATACCGGTATACTGGCTGAAAAGAATCCATTAACTTTAGGTACAACAGTCTGATGCACGTATCCACAGTTGTGCCTGTCAGTACCATAACAACGGATGTATGCGCAACTGCACATGTGGGAAGAAGGGACTGCTAAGATGCTTGTTGACATGTGTGTATGTGAATGTATACACATGTATACACATACATACTTATGAGCCAGTGGATGATGGAAATCTTCACTGGACATCTGGCGGAGCATTTATGAGTCCGCAATACAACTTCAAAATGACAATAGCATGACTGGTTGTCCCATGTTAGCAAAACTCAGACGAAGTGGCCTCATGTTTGAATAGCCCACTGTCCTTTCAAGGACTCCAAAGCAGGTAATGTGTGTCTGTATGCACATGACCATGAACATGATTCTTGGCAAAACCCATATACTGAAAAATAGTTGCAATCATTTTGAAAAGAGGACGAAACAGTGTCATATAACCTGCGAAAATGGCAGGAGAAGTTCGGCACATCGCATGTCGGTGTATATTACGACGTGGTGTTATATTGTATTTGCACGGACTTGTAAACAGGTATGTATAGATGCATACATGTATACACACAAAAGTTTACGATGTTGCATGTATGTGTGTATGTATGTATGTATGCATGCATGCATGCATGTATATGTATGTGTGTGTGTGCATGTGTGCATGTGTGCATGTGCACGTGTATGTGTATAGACATATGTATACATTTACACATGTATACATATATGCACACATAAACATATATACATATATATATATGTGTGTGTGTTTGTGTGTGGACGCGCACACATATAAGTTTACATATACATATATGAGTAGGCACATGTCGCCAATACTTATCTACATATTATGTTGACATACACTAAGAATGGCTAGCTCTAAAAATCATTGTACATATGGGCAAATGCAATCCGTATGTATATATATATATATAGGTGTATACATATAGATATATATATATATGGACATCCAGATACAAAAACACATGCATACAGACGGAATGTGAACACGCATGCACGCACATACACACACACACACACGCACACACACACACCCCTGTATAACCCTGTGTACATAAATTCTCTGTGTGTGCACATATAAAATATGCATGCGTGTATATATATATATATACTGAATACTTATCTTGATGTTCACACTTAAACTTGGATTTGAATGTGTTTCACAAACAACTTCGGTTTAGGAAACACAACCGAGCATAGGTTCAGGTCTGGCACGCAGCTTTTCCGGCACACAACATGTATGAAACCAAAGACGATCCAGGAAAATACCTTGGACCCTATCGTCCACATTTACCGAGAATCCGAAGACAGCCCCAAAAAACGCAATGTCCAAAGTAATCAACAACTACCAAAACAACCAAACTGAACTGGCCCCATAGTCCTGCCTTGGTTGTGGATTTGCGCTGTTTCCAAAACACACACACACACACAAAGCCCTTGCAAGGAAGCCTTGTTTAAAAATTGTGAGCTGTGGTTTTTTTGGAATGCGTGGCAGGGGCTGTTGGTTTGCGCAGTCTGGAACCTGTCTTTGGTCTGCTTTTCCCTGGGAAAAAGTTGAGCAAAAGTTGAAAAAACAAAGTTAAAAACGTTTAATCATAGTTGAAAAAGCGTTGAAAAAGTTGACAACCTGACAAAAAATAAACGTACCGGCCCCCCGCCCCCGCCCCCCCATTTTTCAACTATGTCGGCAACTTTAGTTCGACTACTTTGGCAACTCCGCAACTTTTGAAAATCCACAGATCAACTATTGTTGCAGGATTTGGGTTATTTTCCGGCAACCCCTCGGTAACCAACCGGCCGGTCACAAGCTTACTAACCTACTTCGAAACACCATTGGTAAGCCTCGACGGACATGATCTGTGGCCTTTACCAGCAATTCTAGTACACGAGCTGCAGGCAAGACAGCAGGAACACCACTTGAGTCTGGGAGTCTGGCTAAAGGCCCTCCACGGGAAATTTCATTGCCTGTTGCAGGCCCTGTGGCGAGTGCACGGCTGGATTACATGGCAGAGCAGCTGGAGGCTGTAGAGCCTACCGGATGTCTGCTGGGCACTGTTCAATGTGATTCTGAATACGAATCAGTAGGAATCTTGTTCTCCAGGCTTTCATGGCGAATCAGACTCCCATCGGTACACTCCCGAGGCCTTGCAGGAGCAGCTCGTTCGGGCACAGCCGGTGTCCGCCACAGCTGCACTGCATGTAGTCAGTGTAGTCATCGATGCCCATGCATGTCTATTCTCGCGAGCGCCCACAAAAAGGTCCAGCCCATAAACAGGTCCAGCAACCACAGCCAGTTTTCCGACCCCCGCTGTCTCAAGCTCGAACTTGCCGCCTATCCTTGGAATGCAGCGTTTTGAGCCCCGGAGATGTCTCTGCCTCGCCCGGTACCTTCGACCCCTCAGGCTGGCACGCGGGGGTTGAATCCCCGCATTGAACAGCTCGAGGTCGCCACCAAGGCCACCGCATCCAGCAGCAACTTTACAGTCAGCGAGGGACGGGTTGAGAGAAAGAGAGACACAGTCGAGCTACTTGTAGGGTGCGGAGACGCGCCGGGGGCTCGAGGTTCTTCAGCGTGCTGAAGAAGACAAAATTGTCGGTTTGTATATGTATAGTGATCTGCCGGAGAACCGATCAGAGAGAGAGAGGGAGAGAGCGAGCGCGAGCGCGCGGGGAGTAGAGCTGGACCGCTCTGCTCCTCACACCTGGTAGAGAGAGAGAGAGAGAGAGAGAGAGAGAGAGACAGAGAGAGAGACAGACAGAGAGAGCGAGCCTGAAAATAGCTGCAAAAAGCGACAAAGCCGGGCAAGCGCCCGCGTGCAGGAAGGGGATTTGTGCTGCTTGTCCCTCCTGTCCGTAGCAGCCGCAGCCAGGAAATATCTGAAATGAGTGCAGAGTACGATGAAACATAAGCTTATATATAGTGTGTCAGCGAATAGAGTCTTGCTTTGAAACTACTTGGATACCTGGCGCAGGTCATGGATGAGACCTATCAGGTGCGGGTGTCCGTTTTCTGAAGTACATGATGGCAAGGATTCCAGGTCGGTATACTGTTGTTTGCTTATTCGAGAAGGTTCTATGCGGTTCTATGCTCAAAATTTGCGGGACGGATTCTCTGGGCAAGGCTTGGATCGGCTTCTCCTGCTGCAGCCGCGCTTGTTCAGTGGAAAGGTTCAGTGTAAACGGCGTCAAACTGTTTGGCGGTTGAGAACGTCCCGACCCTGCCAAAGGCTCTGTCGTCGGAAATGCTGCAGTTGCGTGAAGATTTGCAAAAGCTCCGACGCTTACAGGCAGGTTAGCCTTTGCACTCGGGGCCCTTGGGGGTTCGTTGGATTTGGCGCTCGGCGCCATAGAGGAAAGGGATCCTTTCGGCTTCGCTGGCTGAGCATGTATCCGATCATCGAAAATTCCCGACCTCGCCTTGGCTTCAGATAGGGCTTGATACGTTCATTGCGGTAGTCGTGAGTCGGCCGTGTGTCCGTGCTATCAATCCAGGCATCCCAGGACACGCAGACAAGCACCCTGGAGGCCAGAAGTTCTGGCAGAATGGTTGCTACTATGTTTGGTTGGATGAACCGGTTCCGGGCATACTCTTGGCTGTGCGGGAGGGAGCTTATCACTTTGCTTTGTTCCTGAGCAGCTTGCACATGCAACTGTTGATGCCAAGTCTCTGAGTCACCGGAAGACTTCGGGACATTCGAAGGCAACTCTTGAAAGTTTTACTTTGCAGACTGCATGTCTTCATAACCCCCGAATAACATCGTAGCACCGGCAATGGCGCAGCAGCCTCTTCAGCACTCCTCTTCAGGATTGCTGGCTGCTTGGCTTGACAAGAAGTCTCTGAACGACTCCTCCCATTAAGCCACCATCCGTGTCCTGATTCCCAGCCCACAGCCTGCTGCGGGCCCGAAACGTGGACAGCTTGAAAGCCTAGGCCGGCTTAAATCGCATAATGGCAGTTCTCGTGACTTTGAGGTGCTTGCCAGTGATTGTTATAGACTCTGCTAAGAGCAGGCACCCAGCTTCTCGTTCCCGAACGAAGGGGTCGGAGAATCCACGACTTGCCGCTCGAGCTGTTCGAGTATCTTGCCATACGACATGCGCAACACTGCATCAACATACTTACAGAAAACACGACGAAGCTAGCCACATAGCCTTCAGCCAATGCTGTGCGCTTTGCACCTGAGACATCCTACAATTTGTTGGTAAGGCCATTCACTTTGCATTTGATATGGTCTGACCACGGAAAAGTCACAAAGTGTAGCTTCGGCATACACCCAACGCGAGCAACACCTGCACGAACCATCGGCACACCTCATCCAGATAAACCCTTCCCACCGGGTTTCCGGCATCGGCCATTTGTATTGTCACTCCTCGGGCGCTATGGGCGAGCTGCAGTTCTGAGTGCGCAGCAGGTGGGTTGCGAATTGCTTGTTCTTCAGGGGATTTCCTGAACCCTTAGCTTCGACATAGCTCTCATGTTCTCGACATTGCCCATCCGCCCTCACAAAGATGCATGGCCAGCTTATTCTGCATTATTCTGCTACGAACTGGCAGGGGTTTGGACTTTGGCCTTGCAGAGCCGGCGATGGATAACTTCACCGACGTCCTCAGTGCTTTCACTTGCCAAGGCGGTCTCCTGGCGGAACACAAGCGGTCAATTCCTGGTTACTTAAAGCAGTTAGAAGTTCCATCGTTTTGGGGAGTACAGAATTCACCTTCACCGTGTTTTGAGCCGATGTTTCTGGAAAATGCTGGACCCAGCCATGGACACGCTGTCGGTGGACAGCTGCAGCTGTTTGCAAGGCCGACTCGTTGCAGCTACAGAATCGCCCCAAACCTAGGACCCCGACGTGTTTTGTTGACAGTTCTCTTGACCGGCATCCCGAGCTGAGGCTTCTGCACCTGCTCCATTGGAGGGCCGGCGTATGCCGCCGGAGCGCTCGACACGAAACTCGGACATTGGACGTGCGGCATCACAGCATGGAGTTCGAGAGCAGCAAAAAAATCAAGAGTCATGAGTGTCACGATATTTGTGCGTTCCCGTGGCCGTGCTGTAACTCAGGAGTGAAATTGATGATCGGTGGCTTCCCCCGGAGGCATAGTAGGAGTCGGGCCATCGGTCAGAGAAGAGCTCTTCGAGCCTAGATGACCAGAGTAGGAGTTCAGCGGACATGTCAGCAAAAGCTCGAGTCGTCTTTAAAAAATTGCAGGTGAAGGAAGACAATTTGTTCATGCCGTCCCCGAGGTTGACAAGCGCCCTGTCTGACTGGAATTGCCACAGAAGACCGCCAAGTATTTAGCACTGGTAGCCGGAATTCTGGCTTTCGCCTTCTTTAGTTGAAGTTGAGCAGATCTGATGGATGTGTCTTCGATGCTGAATGCAACCTAGGCCGAGACCCAGAAGCGGTCAAGGGGCCGGGCACTCAAATGCCCATGCCATGCCCGTCGTTGCGGCACATCGCAGTCCATGCCTCTGACTCGACATTCATGCACTTGTAAGCTGAGTTTTTGTAATTCGCTTCAGGCAGCCGGAGCAGTCGCCTGCCTTCCTGCAGGACCTGATTGTTTGTTTTGTTGCTGGTGTGTGTGTGTGTGTGTGCACGCAGGTTGCATTCCGGCACTCGATCCCCACACTTCCTTCCTGTCAGACCTGTGTAAACATGAGGGGCACACTGCGTGCGTTCGCGTGAGTGTGTGTGTGTATATATATAGATAGATAGATAGATAGATAGATAGATAGATAGATAGATAGATAGACATGCGCACAGACATGCATACATGGATGCATATTTGTTTACATATGCACATATGCACAAGCGTACGCAGATACACAACATAACATAACACATACAGTGTGGTGCACACATGCATGAAAACAACATGCCATGCCATGCCATACCATACC